CTCTCTAGATGCAAGTAATAGGTAGGGTAGATGCCTTTATCAACTCCTTTCTTGTCTCTTGTGATACGGCACTGGAGAGTCATATTGTGTGGAGCTGGACGGAATGCAAAGCCCTCAAGATCATCTGTTTCTAGAGGTGGGACTATTTCGGAATCTTCTTCCTGTTTAATCATACAGTGATATTGTAAAGAAGCACTGTTATAAAAAAAAAAAAGAGATAATATTGCTCAGAGAATATTACAGTTGCTTTCTATTGTATGCTACTCCATTGATATTGACAAACCAGTGTTTTCTAAGGCTAAGAAAAAGAAGCAAAAAATTAAGTTAAATTCAGGTTCCTTTTCATTTTTAATAACAAAAATGGTCTCAGATGTGCCTGTGTATGTCTACAAATGTAATAGTAATAATTATTATTATTACTACAACTACTATGTATAGAAAATGGATCATCACTTTCATACAACCTGCATAGTCTATAAAGTGTGCTTTGCTCATCCACAGCAAACATTTTCACTTAATTTTATTTTAGGATTAAAGTTTTCTTTTTGGGGGAAGGATTAGGGTTATGTGTTAAGAGGTTAACTTTGAAGTACTGTGTTAAAGTTAAACTTTAGGAAAACCACCAAATACACAAATGCATATGTATTTGAACTGTATTACCTGATGAAAGAGTTACAATTCTGTTCAGTCAGTCTTGTACTCTATACATCCCTGTCAGACAGTATAGCATGGGCAGTGACCACACTTTTTTTAATTACAATTTGGTTACAAGCTTGCTACCAGCCCACTATTTGGGCCCATAGAAGAATGATCACCACATGGATGAGGTTATCAACCCGTTTCTCTGCTCTTTTTTCCTGTCAGCAAACTCCCAGTGTTAGATTGGCAGCATTGTACAATGTGGAAGTCCTGACTGGTTCCCAAAGCTGGTTCTTTTTTTCACTTGCCCAGTAAAAGAGATGCTATGCTGGGGAATACAGGGATGGAAGATAAAGATGTAGTCAGGCACTTAAACTAGATATATTTAAAAATATTTTGTTTTTAAGCAACAAATAACTGGAATAAGTTGCAATCTTTTATTATCTGTCAATAGTTCAGCTTTAAGAGTTAGGTTTAGGGTAAAGGTTGGCAGTCAATTACAGGTGACCCACAATGTCTCTGCCTGAGGTCAATGAAGTGGGCAGGCAGCCTTGTTGTGCTCAACTTAATTTGGCCATTGCCTTCTCTAATGGCTTCTTTAAAGATACTTGATCACATGAAGGAGATCTGGAACTCCCAAAACTCCCAGGTAGAAAAGAACAGAGTTGGGAATTATGGCAGAGCGATCTAACTGTTGGAGTGTCCAAGATATACAGTATAATGGAGGCCACAAGCTGACTCAACTTACTAGGATCCACCAATAACTAATATATTGCTCTTGGGGGAGCATGGCATGCACTTTAATGATACATTTGATAATACTGTTGAAGAAACATTATATTTTAAGAAATCACTTTTTTTTTTTCTTTCATTTTTCACCTTACTAGAGGAAGACAATGGCCTTGTATATACAACACTGCTGAGGATATCCAAATCTTCATCAAAATCATCTTCCAGACCCTCTAGATCTGCTGCTTCATAAGAAGGGTTTCTTTTTTTGGATCTCACTATATAACACAAAAAAAGAAACAATACTTTAACTATATAGTTCTTTCTTGCTTCTGCAAAATTCCAATATACTGTAATAAAAAAAGAATACAAGGGAAGTGCACTGATTTAAGGCCATATTCAGTGGCAATTCCACTGCCATATTACATGGGTACAGAGATTAGCCCATACCCATAGATGTAGAAAGGCTGCACAGCCCTGGCATTGTAAGGGCTGAATATATAAACTTGTTAACGTGATCCTCCAGTTTTGATAAGAGGAAACCTTCCCTATCAGGTAAACTAAATGCAATGGAAGTATTTTAGCAAACTTTATTACAGAGTCTTGCCTTTCTTCATTCCGCAAAAAAAAACCAATGTAATCCTTACCATGTCCCTTCTCATTCTGGATGCTAAGGTGTGGTAATCTGAATCAATTGATAAGGTTTTGTGTTGTCATAGGAAAATGAGAAACCTTGACATCCTTTTTATTATTATTATCATTATTTTAATAATACAGGATTTACAGCGCCTTGAAAAATGATTCATACCCCTTGAAATTTTCCACATTTTGTCATGTTACAACCAAAAACGTAAATGTATTTTATTGGGATTTTCTAAGATAAACCAACATAAAGTGGCACATATTTGTGAAGTGCAAGGAAAATCATAAATGGTTTTCAAAATGTTTTACAAATAAATATGTGAAAAGTGTGGAGTGCATTTGTATTCAGCCCCCCTGAGTCAATATTTTGTATAACCACCTTTTGCTGCAATTACAGCTGCAAGTCTTTTTGGGGATGTCTCTACCAGCTTTGCACATCTAGAGATTGAAATGTTTGCCCATTCTTCTTTGTCAGCTTTGTCAGATTGGATGGAAAGCATCTGTGAACAGCAATTTCCTTGCCACAGGTTCCCAATTGGATTTAGGTCTGGACTTTGACTGGGCCATTCTAACACATGAACATGCTTTGATCTAAACCATTCCACTGTAGCCCTGGTTGTATGTTTAAAGTCATTGTCCTGCTGGAAGGTGAACCTCCAGTCTCAAGTGTTTTGTAGCCTCTTACAGGTTTTCTTCTAAGATTTCCCTGTATTTGGCTCCATCCATCTTCCCATCAACTCTGACCAGCATCCCTGTCCCTGCTGAAGAAAAGCATCCCTACAACATGATGGTGCCACCACTATGTTTCATTGTGGGGATGGTGTGTTCAGGGTGATGTGCAGTGTTAGTTTTCTGCCACACATAGCCTTTTTCTTTTAGGCCAAAAAGTTCAATGTTGGTCTGACCAGAGCACCTTCTTCCACATGTTTGCTGTGTCCCTCACATGGCTTCTCGCAAACTGCAAATGTGACTTCTTATGGCTTTCTTTCAACAATGGCTTTCTTCTTGACACTCTTCCATAAAGGCCAGATTTGTGGAGTGCACTACTAATAGTTGTCCTGTGGACAGATTCTCCCACCTCAGCTGTGGATCTCGGCAGCTCCTCCAGAGTTACCATGGGCCTCTTGGCTGATTCTCTGATTAATGCTCTCCTTGCCCAGCCTATCAGTTTAGGTGAATGTCTTGGTAGGTTTTCAGTTGTGCCATACTCTTTTCATTTTGGATGATGGATTGAACAGTGCTCCATGAGATGTTCAAAGCTTGGGATATTTTTTTTATAACCTAACCCTGCTTTAAATTTCTCCACAACTTTATCCCTCATCATCTTTCTGGTGTGTTCCATGGCCTTCATGATGCTGTTTGTTCACTAATGTTCTCAAACAAACCTCTGAGGGCATCACAGAACAGCTGCATTTAAACAGAGATTACATTACACACAGATGGACTCTATTTACTACTTAGGTGACTTCTGAAGGCAATTGGTTCCATTAGATTTTAGTTAAGGGTATCAGAGTAAGGAGGGATGAATACAAATGCACGCCACATTTTTCAGATATTTATTTGCAAAAACCATTTATCATTTTCCTTCCACTTCACAATTATGTGCCACTTTGTGTTGGTCTATCACATAAAATCCGAATAAAATACAATTACGTGTTTGGTTGTAACATGACAAAATGTGGAAAATTTCAAAGGGTATGAATACTTTTTCAAGGCACTGTATATAGCACCACAGCTTGTGCAATGCTTTACAATATAAAAAGAGACAAAGAGTGCATTTCAATACAATTCAATACAGGAAGGCTCTGCTTGTGAGACCTTACAATCTAATGTACCATATGTATTATATTATACACCTGCGCTAGGATGGATCCACATATGCACAAGAGAGCAATTGTAATCAAAGTGCCCTTGCACTCTACAAATCCAAGCTAAATCTTTACAGCTCTGTGTGCTACAAATAAAGTGTAATGAATCACTATGTGACTATATAGAATACATAAACAATATCTAAGTAAAGCAAAAAGAAGAAACGTCCACCAGATTATATATTCTGTGCCACCGCATGGAAAGTCTGTGAAAATTATTCACAAAAATGAATCAGAAAAAATGTGCTTCTGTGCAATCTTCCACAAACATCACTTAATGTTCTTGTTAAATTTTCCAGTGCTCCTCCAAAACCAACACAGAGATCTCACCAGATAAATATGACCACCCACTACAGGTCAGTTATAATGCACTTGTTATATATGTACGGCACTATCCTCCACTTCTTTGAATTGGGTATTCCACTTCATCTCCAGCCACACATATTATGCCATATGAAAGAGGTAAAGGAAGACCGCCATAGTGTAAAAACCTTTACACATGATTCTTGAGCTCTCCCAAGAAAAAAAAACCTCTCTAGCAATACACACCAAACTGAGTATGTGCAGAGTGTCTCCACATGATATGTCTTATCAGGAGAAGAGAGGAGGACAGTAGGGGAGGATTAGAGAAGTCAGGTTCAAACAGTCTTTTTACATAATGCAGAGGATTAACCCCTTAGGTTCCACATGGAGTATATCAAGCATGCTTTACTGCATATACAGACTGATTTTACTGTTGTGGGTTTAGTAACACTTTAATAGATTGTTAGGAAAGTAGCAAAAACAACTTTTATTATAACCTGAGCAGAACACTTCTTTGCGTTGTTTAATTGTTAATGAGTTCAAGTCAATGTGAAAATTTGTATTCTAGTATTCTCTGTTCCCTCCATTTCTAATGTACTTACCTGTTTTTTGCGGCTTTTTTTTATTCCGCTGTTTGACTGGTGCTGGGGGGACTTGTCTGTCCCCTACAGACTCTGAGTTCTCCTCATCACTGGAGTTGTCAGCTACAACCATCGAATCTGCCTTCAGTTCTTGTATTATATCTTGTGCTGCGCCTGGGCCATTGCCAGCACCTGTAAGAAAATCTCATCAGGAAGGAAACAGAATACAATGAGCTTCTACAGACAATCTGATATCCCAACCTTTCATCTGAAGTGTATTTTCTTTCTCTGTGTCTTGAGTCTCCTGTATGGATGATCTCCGGTTCTTTGACACTTTGGGTGATGATGTTTTGGCCTTTGATTCCTTCATATCAGATTTTGCTATTTGGCAAGGCAAGGAAAACGGGGTGTATTATATAATGCAATGTCTTAGCTATTGATATTGTCATGTAGTATGAACCTGTTACCAAATAGATAATGACAGCTCTGTCATTGATTTTGACAAACAGTATTCTGTGATCTCTCATATACCTCTAACAAATCACTGTAAAGTGGCTAACATCAAATACATTCCAGGGTTGAAGTTCTGGCATATTTGTCTTGTTTAAAACTTGATATTCTCTTTTAACCTACTGTTGGTCCTCTAATGGGTCCTGACTGTAAGCAGCCTTTTACAACATGTTTTAAGGGGCTAAATATATATTATTCTTTTTTTTTTTCATTTTTTGATTGCGTGAACAAATGTGTTTATAATTTACAGCTTTGTGCAGTTTCAATTATGGTACTTATGGTTGATGACTAATATTATCCTAGAAGTGAAAGTGGAACCAAACTCAACATGTCCAATGCTGCTGATCACTAGGGACTGGTGGTCTTCCTGCTTTCAAACCCCATAATCCCAAAACTTCAAGCTGGACAGAAATAAAAAAGGAAATATAATGGGAAAATAGTGCTTCCTCAAGAAGGAATCTTGAAGAAATACAAAAAGCACGCAGTGACTGTGTAGCACAATTTCTATATTAAAATAGATAATGCCAACATAGTGTGAAGGAGCATATTGAAGGAAACAAATGCTTCCATGCACATGGCCAGTAACAAGACCCAACTACCCAATGCCTGGATTGATGATTTTAGAGAATTCTCCTTATCTTTAATAACATTTCAAGGGAACACTCTTTTTCAAACCTTCCCAAACCTTATTGGTAGTGTTCAAACTAATATTCCAATGAGCTAAGTAAGGGTGCCGCAGATGTACTAATAGAAAAATACCATGTAAACCTTTTAAAAATAGCTTTACCCAAAGTATATAAAAAGAATAAAATTAGTATTAATATTATGAAAATAATATGTGAGGTCTTGCAAGCTAATATGGTGCCAAAAAATGGTGTTTTGACAAATGTAAAGGGTGCAGTTAAATTATATTGATTAAATTAAATTATAGCAGCAGATCGCCTACACATCACACATACCCGTACTAATGTGTCATGTTCAGTCAACATAAATATAATAGTGTTACACACCACTGAGAAATAAATTAAGTGTATGATCTAGAATTACAAACGTGACATCAGAGCCCCTCCCCTATCCGTTGCCCCACTGGGTCACGTAGCCTCATCAGGGGTTTCCTCCTGATGAAGCCATGTGACCCGGTGGTGCAACGCGTAGGGGAGGGGCTCTGACGTCACTACGCTCAAGGAGACAGGCAGTCACGCAGCAATTATACTGAACTGAATGCTAGCAAACACTGTGGATCAGTTTTTAAAGCGATTTTATCAGCATTTACATGTGAGTGCAATATCTTGTGTGTAATAAATGTAAAAGAAGATAAGGTACTATGTTTTCATTACTCTTTATGGCATATATACCAATGGAGGAAGAGTCTTAAGGAAGTGAGGGGATCCCTAACTCTGAAGATTAATAATCTCATCCAGTCAAAGTCCAAATTAAAAGGGACACAAGCTATTTATGACCTCACTTAACGGTTTGGTCATATCTACCAGGTGAGAGCACAGCTCGTGGAGGTGCACGCATGGTTGTTACAAATACGCAATAGTGGTGAATTGAGCACAAGTCATTTTTGTCCACATCACTGGAAAGAGTGTGAAATCACAAATCATACAGTGGGGCAAAAAAGTATTTAGTCAGCCACCAATTGTGCAAGTTCTCCCACTTAAAAAGATGAGAGAGGCCTGTAATTGGCATCATAGGTAGACCTCAACTATGAAAGACAAAATGGGGAAAAAAAATCCAGACAATCACATTGGCTGATTTGGAAAGAATTTATTTGCAAACTATGGTGGAAAATAAGTATTTGGTCAACATCAAAAGTTCATCTCAATACTTTGTTATATATCCTTTGTTGGCAATGACAGAGGTCAAACGTTTCCTGTAAGTTTTCACAAGGTTGGCACACACTGTTGCTGGTATGTTGGCCCATTCCTCCATGCAGATCTCCTCTAGAGCAGTGATGTTTTGGGGCTGTCGCCGGGCAACACGGATTTCAACTCCCTCCAAAGGTTTTCTATGGGGTTGAGATCTGGAGACTGGCTAGGCCACTCCAGGACCTTGAAATGCTTCTTACAAAGCCACTCCTTCGTTGCCCGGGCGGTTTGTTTGGGATAATTGTCATGTTGGAAGACCCATCCACGTTTCATCTTCAATGCCCTTGCTGATGGAAGGAGGTTTGCACTCAAAACCTCACGATACATGGCCCCATTCATTCTGTCCTGTACATGGATCAGTCGTCCTGGTCCCTTTGCGGAGAAACAGCCCCAAAGCATGATGTTGTCACCCCCATGCTTCACAGTAGGTATGGTGTTCTTTGGATGCAACTCAGCATTCTCTCTCCTCCAAACACGACGAGTTGTGTTTCTACCAAACAGTTCTATTTTGGTTTCATCTGACCATATGACATTCTCCCAATCCTCTTCTGGATCGTCCAAATGCTCTCTAGCAAACTTCAGATGGGCCTGGACATGTACTGGCTTAAGCAGGGGGACACGTCTGGCACTGCAGGATCTGAGTACCTGGCGGCGTAGTGTGTTACTGATGGTAGCCTTTGTTACGTTGGTCCCAGCTCTCTGCAGGTCATTCACTAGGCCCCCCCGTGTGGTCCTGGGATTTTTGCTCACCGTTCTTGCGATCATTTTGATCCCATGGGGTGAGATCTTGAGTGGAGCCCCAGATTGAGGGAGATTATCAGTGGTCTTGTAAGTCTTCCATTTTCTAATTATTGCTCCCACAGTTGATTTGTTCACACCAAGCTGCTTGCCTATTGCAGATTCAGTCTTCCCAGCCTGGTGCAGGTCTACAATTTTGTTTCTGGTGTCCTTCGACAGTTCTTTGGTCTTCACCATAGTGGAGTTTGGAGTGTGACTGTTTGAGGTTGTGGACAGGTGTCTTTTATACTGATAACAAGTTCAAACAGGTGCTATTGATACAGGTAATGAGTGCAGGACAGAGGAGCCTCTTAAAGAAGAAGGTACAGGTCTGTGAGAGCCAGAAATCTTGCTTGTTTGTAGGTGACCAAATACCTGTTTTCCACCATAATTTGCAAATAAATTCTTTCCAAATCAGCCAATGTGATTGTCTGGATTTTTTTTCTCATTTTGTCTTTCATAGTTGAGGTCTACCTATAATGCCAATTACAGGCCTCTCTCATCTTTTTAAGTGGGAGAACTTGCACAATTGGTGGCTGACTAAATACTTTTTTGCCCCACTGTATATGGACACTTAATTTTGGATTATTGATATTATTTTTGGCAAAGTTCTTTTGTAATTGTATATCATACACTTAATTTATTTGTCAGTGGAGCATGACACTATTATATTTATTTTGACTTAGTATTAGTATTGTATATATGATATTTAATTTAAAAATGGTAACACATCAATAAATACCTAGCGGAGGTGATTCACCAAACTCTGCCTATAACAGAAATATAATTTTTTATATTTTTTTAATTCTAAGGGGTGCCCTCACCCCTTAGAAAAACCTCAAGGACTACTTTTCATCATAGCTGTCCTATATATTGATATTACATCAATGTTAGTATGATATAGTGTTGTGTTACAAAAAGAAATAAAGGAAATAATACAAGCCATCTGCTAGACATTGTATTTTAGCTGTGAATGTAACTGTTTGAATGGAGTTCTGCCTTAATAATTTAACAACTGTGAAAGGGCAGCATTAAAACTTGGCTCAAAAGTTTTGAAACCAAACATCTTTTATAGGTAATAGTTCTACTAAACATTAAGAAAAGCCCTTGTTAATGGACATCCTACATCTTGTATTAGGTGAAATATTATCGTAAAGGGGTTATAGAGTTACTTGAGATCACACACCTGCTCTTGTCTTGTTCTTCTGCTTTGCTCTGGCTGGGGCTGGTTCTTTCTTGCTGGTAAGAGGCAGGGTGTCTTCGAGAATGGTTTCCTCTAGATCTTCATCTGAAACATCAACTAATTGAAAATAAAATAAACATAATTGACACATAGAAGTCTAATAGTATGCAACTAATATATGGCACAAAAACCGTATGCCCACAGATCACAAGACACAAACCTTGTGAAGAAAACACCAAAGTATAGATTTCATTTTGGGAGTCTGGCATTGCACAAAAAGTGTCAGTGTACAGTCAGCCTTACCTAGCAACATGCCTGAAATCCAGCACTGCAAAGTCCTTAGAAAACTTTATTATTGCAGACAACTGCAAGAAGCCCTGCCTGGTACCTCCTCCCAGTCTCATGCGTTTTACCCACACCGGACTTAATGAAACAACTAGGATTAAAGTGATTCTTAAAGTTAAAAATAATAAAAAAAAAAATGTTATACATAACTGCTCTGTGCAATGTTTTTGCACAGAGCAGCCCCGATTCTCCTCTTCTCAGCTCCTCGCCCCTGCTGGATGACCCCAATAGCAAGGCTCTTGCTATGGGGGCACTTGAGCAGGCTCGCTCCTGAGCTGTACACCTGTGAATGGACATTTTCCATTTACACACAGAGCGTGACTTGGCCTCGCCCCCCACTCGCTCCTCATAGGGTCATTGGCTGTGATTGACAGCTGCAGGAACTAATGGCTCCTGCTGCTGCCTAAGCCAATGAGGAGAGAGAGAGAGTCCCGAGACAGCCAAGGCTCTCTCCTCGTAGGGTCATTGGCTGTGATTGACAGCTGCAGGAACTAATGGCTCCTGCTGCTGCGTGAACCAATGAGGAGAGAGAGTTCCGAGACAGCCAAGGCTCTCATGCACACCTCTGGATTGATATGATGCTCAAGTAAGTAAAGGGGGGGGGGGGGAGACTTATGGGGGGAGCTGCAACCAGAACGTTTTTACCTTACCTTCATGCATAAAATGCATAAAGGTGAAAAACCTTCTACCTTTAGGACCACTTTAAATCCATTATGAGTGAAATGCATCCGAGGTGGTACTAAGTGGAACTTTTTTGCAGTTGAACAAGACTAATAACATTTTTACAAGTGTTGGATCTTGGACAGATGTCTTTTTTTTCTAGATGTGTTGACAGTTGCGGGAAAGGACGAGCCTTGCCTGGCATTTGCACCCTGTCAGCTGAGTGAGGGAGAGAGATAAGATTTAAGAGCAACAGCAGATCATCACTAATATGTCTGAAATAACTGTTTGTATTGCCCCATAGTCAGGGCTTTGTCAGAGGCATATGCATTCACACACACACACGTGCGCAGTCAGACCATTGATGCAAGTACAATAGCCAGCAGTGTTGTACTCAGTGATGCTGACCCCACACATTTAACAGGCTTCACATCACTAAGGGCATCAAACGCTGTACCTGCCTATCAGATCTTGTACTGATATCACTTCTTAGGTCTCAAAACATGCAGTCACTTCTAGCACTCAGAAATCGACCAAAGATGAGAAGGAAAGTAATGAAAACATCTGTCAGGAATACTCCACCAATGCAGCCCTCCTCAGGGAACGCAGTAAAAATTAAAAAAAAAAAAAAAAAAAAGAGGGCGCCATCTCCTACTGCATCTCAGGTAATGCACTAGGTGGTTGTGCCCTCCTGTGTTTTTTGTTTGTACTCTTCTTAGATCTGTTCACACTTTTTCAATTTACAGTACAACTGTATCCCAATGCATTTCAAGTAGAATTCCTTAAAACAGAACAAAATATCAAGATCAACAATCTCTGGTGTTATTACCTATCAAAGCTGAGTTCCAGCCATTTTTGTGTTTATTAAAAGTCAGACGCTACAAAAACTGTAGCAACTGACTTTTAATAAACACACACTTACTTGTCCCAGGGTCCAGCGATGTGCTCAGCCGCGCCGTCCCTTCTCTCCTTTTCTCCTCCACGGTGCCGGCATCTCAACTGTGGGCACCAGGCTGTGACAGCTTGCAACTTCACAGCCTGGTGACCACTGCGCATGTGCGAGTCGCGCTGCACCTCCTGATTGTCTTCTGGGACCTTTGAAAGTTCCCAGGAGACTGCGGGACAAAGAATGGGGCCGAACTTCAGGCTCAATTCGCTGCGGCGAACTGAGCGAGATGCGGGAGCGGGTACCTGTCAAAACCATGTACCCTCTCCTCCCCAAAAGGTGGCAAATATGGCAGTGGAGGGGGAGGAGCCAAACAAGCGGAGCTTCCACTTTTGGGTGGAACTCCGCTTTAATGTTAATATCTAGGTATACTTTGTGCATTTTTTCAATGCATCCATTTTAAATTGGCCAGAACTAGTTCCTGAGGGAGCCTATTCCACATTTTCACAGCTCTTACTTTGAAGAAGCCTTTCTGTACACAGAGGTGAAATCTTTTTTCTTACAGATGTAAACAATACCTCACTGTCCTCTGTAATGTCATGAAAGTGAAGAATTCTGCACAAAGTTCACTATATGAGCCACTTATATACACCTCTTCTGGCCTCTTTATGTTGTTTCATAATTTAACATGTTTCATCTCAGCAGCATTGTTTCACAAAATTCTCAAGTATTATGCCATCCACATATTACTCTTCACTAACTGTCTTCTGGTTTCAAGTACTGTATATGCCTTGATGAATGAATTAGTTTAAAGGGCAACAACTAATAAAGTGGGGAATGTATTGTCTGAGACACCATACATAATTAAACTGTAAGCAATGTCATTTTTATTCTTTACAAGAACAGGATTTTGGACTTACTAGCAAAACTGGTTTCTTGAAGTACAGTACAGGACAAAGGATCTTTAGTCTTTAAAGAAGTAATATTACATTTGTTTTTACATTTTTCAGTTCCCATGGGACAAAGTACATGCAGTACATTGTCCCATCTCCCTTGATGCCCTGTAACAGTAGCTGTGATGTCTGACAGGGTGCCCCTGGACACCACAGCAAGCAAGGAGATGACTTTGCTGTGAAACACCTGTTTGTATCTCCTAGCCCTTCCCCAATGCAAGCATTAGCAAGTGAAATACTAAAGGATGGGAGCCTGGCATGCCTCACTTTCCTCTGCAGCTGGACGGCCATGCTCTGGCATGAAGAAAACTTTTCATTCCATTGGAAGAAAGGGTTTCCCTAACTTGAACACCAAGTTAGAAATCCACCACATAAGGAATTGTCTGAACTTGTGGGTCAAATGCATGAGGCAGTTCATGCTGTTCCATGCTGCCAGAATTTTGCAATGGTCTGAAGTGAAACTGGGTGTATGCTACTGCTTCGAAGAAGACTACCATCAGGCCCAGGAGTGGACTGACAACTCATGGGGCCCCCGGGCAATAAGGGATCATGGGGCCCCTGTGTCCTTGCCCGAACTCAAAAAAGCCTATAAAGGTACCAGGGGCATCTCATGCGGCCCCCTACTGACCCCAGGCCCTCAGGCAGTGCCCGAGTTTCCAAATGGTCAGTCCGCCCCTCATCAGGCCCAATAACCTAATGCAGGAACGAAACAAGGGCCAATCCTGGAACCAAAAGGTCTAGGCACACGAGTGGAGGGACAAAAGTTTGTTCTGGGGCAGGAAAATCCTGGACAAGGCCATATCCAATAACAAGCCCAGACAGCATAATTAGTAGTCAGTTCCAGGGAGTTTGAGCAGAGCCTGCATTGCCTGATGGACTTTGGCTGACAAGATTAGGGTGGTCTTTTTACAGGAGATTGTCAAGGTATCCCACAACATGTAATCCCTGTGAATGGATCAGAGCTTGAGCAAGTACCATGAAGAAAACCCAGAGGGTGTGGGAAGGACAAAGTAAAGGGCAATATATTGAAAATGCTGAGCGGCCATACCAAAATGCAGTTAGCAGTGCTGAAGAGGAAAATGGGAATGTGTAAGTGAGCATCCCTGATGTCCACAGAGGCCAGAAAATTCCCGAGAATTAGAAAGGCAATAACCAACTTGGCTGGTTCAATGCAAAACTTTTAAACCTACAGGAACAAGTTGAGAGGGTTCAGATTCAGAATGGTATGTAAATCTCCATTTGCCTTAAGAACTCTGAACAGGTTCAAGCAGAAACCCTGAATACATTCCTCATTCAGGAGCAATGATCCCCTGGGAGAGTAGCTGGTGAACAGCAGCAAGAAGATCCATCCCTCTTTGCAGGGAAAGAGAATTATTTAAGAACTTGAAGCAGGGCAGAAGCAGAGTATCAAACTCCAGTTTGTAGCCCCTGGAATTAATGCTCTGGACCCTCACACTAAAAATTTCTTGGGACCAAAAGGGCAAAAAGGTCGACAAATGTTCTCTTACTCTGACAAATGGAGGTGCCCCTTCATTGGCAAGAGGGCTACAAGCCAGACTTGGCTGGCTAAAAGATCTATGTCTTCTGAGGAGTGCATTTTCCAGACTTAAACTTGTAGTTGGACGCCTGAAAGGGATTAAAAGAAGTAAAGTACTTTTCCTATTCTCAGAAGTAGAAGGTCTACATGCAAAAGCTTGAGCATTTTTTTCTCAGGGAGGAGAGTAGATCTCCCCTTTATGTACTTATCCAAGGAGGGACCAAACAGGCATCCTCACTTGCTTCTTGCACAGAAGTTTCTCCAATCATTACTTGAGCCGAAGGATCCATTGCAAATTGATGGAAGAAGGTTAATCCTTGAAACCTGGTGAAGAGCATCTGGGAGAAGCTCTGGTTAACAGAGGGATCCATTAAGATGAGCTTGGGTCTTAGGCCATACATTTAATCCAGACAGCTAAAGTCTGACAGACAGCCATGAGGGTGACCATAGGTTGCATGACAGAACCCACCAAGGAAAATAAAGCCTTAAACAGGGCCTCTAACCTCTTATCCACTGGGTCCTTGAACACAAGAGTGTCCTCCATTGGTGTCTTGTTAACACGAGAAATGACTGGATCCACTACAGGGCCCATTCTATCTGAAGGAAACCCCTCAACAGGATATTGCTGAGCAAAATGTTTAGGAGGGGCAAATAACTTTTCAGGGTGAGTACAGTCACCGTACAAGACTGTCTCTAAGAGTGAATGGACTGGGAAGGTCTTAGTAGGTTTGAGCAACTTAGGGAACCCACACTAGAGGCCTTAGGGTGAGCAGACTTAAGCTGCTCTAATGCTAAACATGTGTGTATCGTATCACTAAGGGTATCAATGATATCCTTAAGCTTTGATGAGATCTTAGCCCAATCATCCTGATTCAATTCCTCAGAAGAAGAGGGGGGATCTTTCTCATCTACCTCGTCCTCAGGCATAGTAGCAGTCGCAAGAGTTTATTTGCAAGAGACAAACCCAGGAGGGGAGACTGAAGGGGTAGCAGAAAACCCATCTTTAATAGGTAGGAAGAAGGGTGTGCAGCTGAAGAGCTAGCAGTGTTCCCAGAGGAAGGTTGAGATTGAGACTGGTGGCAGCTGTGAGAACAGAGGGTATTAGGAAACCATTTAGAGCAACTATCTAATCACGAACATCACTTAGCTCTATTTTGCTGGCCTCCTAAATATACATATTTTCAGTTTAGGTTTTCAGTTATAGTCCATTTGTAAAGTCCATGGGGATTTTCCTTCTTAGACACAGAATTTTATTTTGCAACATTTTTTTGTTTCTGGGTAGCTAGAAACAATTTATTAATGCTATTGTTTGTCCGTGTAAGCACCTCATAGAAAAAATGTAAAAAACAAGCAAAGGACTAGTCACCAGTATTGCCCATGCAGAGTCAAATTTGTATCTGCATGTCAATGGAGGTGTTGTCACTTTCATGTGCTATTTGTACTAATGTAGATGCAACAACAATATTTTATTAATATAATTGGTGCAAAAATATGAAGAAAATTAAAAGATCAATAAAGAGTCCAGATATATGAAATTAAGAGCAAAAAATCCCAAAGTTGACATTATTCAACTGTGAATCAACTGAATGATAAGTTCTCTCCACATTAAAGACACCAGTGCCCACACACTTTACCATATAGAGAGATCTTAAACAAAGGTCAATTGTGCTTTGCAGCCACAATATCCCCAACAACAATTTCAGGTTTGATATGGCTACAGACAGATGGAAAACCTGCAACATATGGAGATTGAATGTGTCTCGGACCTGAGTAGCTGTTGGAGATATTGTGGCTCGTGCCTGTGTAATCCTTAGGACTGGACTGTTAGTTTAACAGCTTGATCCTGCACAATGCAGGGCATCAGTTGCCTGGCCTTGCCTCACAGGCTTCAAAAGAAGGTCCCACCTGCTGGACAGCCTTAAGCTACATGCTTTTTGCAGCTGACTTTTCACCATTATTGATTTACCATGCCTTGTTCTACACTGTGTCTCTGTGTGGAGGCAGCCATCTTGGTAAAGACAGTACATTGATTACTCTTGTCAGAGCTTACCCCTGATGACTGGTGGTTTGATGACTGGTAGGGTAATATTCAAAAAGCTGCAGGAGATGTTCAGAAATTACAGATCCACAGAACAAATGAAGCGGAAGCAGATAGATCCTTGCACAGCAGGTCCTCATATACAGATTCCTCTCCAGGAAGGAAAACAGTGAACAGTACAGTAGTGACATCACCACATCTTAGATCATCTTAGATCGGGTGTCGGCAACCCGCGGCTCCGGAGCCGCATGCGGCTCTTTTTCACCTTTCCTGCGGCTCCGGAGCACACTGCCCACCAGGTGACAGGCAATAGGGTCGGCAAGCCGCGGCTCTTTTAATGCAGCTCTTCTGTGTGCCGGGCGCCCGCTGGCAAACATTGGCTGTCAGGATGTAGGCGGGGCAGCCCGGATGTAGGCGGGGCAGCGTGACGAACTCCTCTCCTCTCACAGTCCGCCCTGAAGACCAGAACGGCGCGGGAACCCAGCGAGAGGAACGCGCGGAGCAAAGGTAAGTGAATTCACACAATATGGGGAATGAATTACTATAGGGGGGATGAATTACTATATGGGGGATGAATTACTATAGGGGGGATGAATTACTATATGGGGGATGAATTACTATATGGGGGATGAATTACTATAGGGGGGATGAATTACTATATGGGGGATGAATTACTATATGGGGGATGAATTACTATAGGGGGGATGAATTACTATATGGGGGATGAATTACTATATGGGGGATGAATTACTATAGGGGGGATGAATTACTATGGGGGATGAATTACTACGGGGGATGAATTACTATATGGGGGATGAATTACTATATGGGGGATGAATTACTATAGGGGGGATGAATTACTATGGGGGATGAATTACTATATGGGGGATGAATTACTATGGGGGATGAATTACTATATGGGGGATGATTTACTATATGGGGGATGTATTTTCAGTTTTAAAAATGTTTCTCTCAAAATAAATTTCAATCGTGGTTTTGGCGAGATTTGGCTCAGTCGAAAAAAAAGGTTGCCCACCACTGACCTAAGGCTATGATTGTGATTATGACGATACACTGTGGCCCTGATTAACCCTTTGCTTACTGGGCCCTTAAACCCCCTTCATGACCAGAGCGTTTTTTGCAATATATGCAGTGTCGGATTTGTTTTAAATGTTGCAATGGTTTTGCGGCTCCCAGTCTTTTTTTCCCTCTCAGAAACGGGTCCAAGTGGCTCTTTATGTCTTAAAGGTTGCAGACCCCTGTCTTAGATGATCTGGCATTGAAGATATAGTATACAGTTATGACACTGGGACAAATTAGGCACAGGAAGTGCACTATTTGTCAGGAGATAATCAAAACAACAGATCTTAAAGGATACGGCTTAGCAGTGGCGAGCCTAGGGTATGGGATCTACAGCTTGTGCCACGGGTGCCACTTGAAGGGAGATGCTGGCTCTGCCCCTATAGATTTGTACATGGTAGGCAAATTTTGGTGGGTCTGGTCACTCGTAGTGGGTCACCATCACATTGCTAAGGACAGGAGTGACTACACTGTCACAATAGGCATAAATGAATTAGACTGCACTTACAGCTTGTTGGACTAGTGTATTAACCATTCTCTGTTATTAGATGTTTGGAAAAGGGTGCCATTTTTAGTGCTTGCCTATTTTCTGTAGATATGCCTAGGCACAATTACCATTTCTAGATGTTCCCTATACAGTAGCAAATCTTAATTTTTTTTAGTTCAGGCCCACTTTAAATACAAGTTGATCAGTAAAGGAACATGCTATACTTCTTACTGTAATTAGGTTTTATTCTGGGTCAAATATCAAACAAGGCACTAATTCTGACTCAAGCATACTATCCCAGGCAAAAAAATGCTATGTTCCATAATTTACCTCCACAAAGGTCTGCTTCCCTCTTTTCTAGTTCAACATCAGCCTTGGTGGTCCGTGAGAAGCTGTCTGAACAGATAGCAGAACAGAGGTGGGGGCTTGCAGGAGTTCCTTCTGATATGGCAGGATTGGATACACCTGAAAAAAGTATTCCTTGTGTTCAAGCTTACAGGAAAGAATGGATCTGATCACAGGTATTATAGTATTGAAATCAAGCTTATTGTAATGCGACGCAATAAAATGCATGAATAAACCTCTCTTTAAGCCCGATTCACATACATGCGAATTGGATGCGTTTTGAACCACATTCAATTTGCATGACATGTGAACCTGCAGAATTTTCAATGGAGCCAATTCACATATGTGTAGGCTGCAGTGCGTTTTCAAAAAGAGTCTGGTACAATTTTGAGCTCGGTTCTAGTGCAGTTTCCTTTGTCATATGCTTTGACAGTTCACACTTGACTTACACCTGAACCGATGAACAAATTTGCAATAGAGGGGGCTGAAATCGTCCTGTCAAGATCGGCATGCACATATGTGAACCCAAGGTTAAGCCCAGGTGAAGCATCATCCCCAATCTCTCTAAAGCCCTGTAACCCTAAATGGCATACTTTGTGACTGAACTTCAGTTAGAAATGCCTGAAAATATCAATTTCTCTTCTAAAAATGCTGTTTCCCACCCTGATGCTCTATGCTGGCAGAGCTGAATAGCAGCCACACTCCTCAACACAAGTGACCAGTTCTGTTACTGAGTGCTGAATACTAAGTGCACTAGATCTAAACCCTATTGGACTGCAGAGGTATATTTAGACATCCCGCACAACTGCAGAGAAAACAGGATAACAGGAAAGTGAAGGTCTGGAAGTTGTTATGTCTATATGGCTCAATATCTATTTCTGTAACTTCATTTGGGCTTTACCTTACCATAAAATCACAAGCAGTTTTGCCAGCTAGGAGTTTTTTGTATAATATTTGTTTCATTGATACAAGTAGAAATAGAGTATGTGCCAAAAAGTTAGTTAGTATATGATCTGCATGTCATACCCATGTAGATGCTGGAAACAGTACAAGACTCCACCAGTACGGCCTGGTCTTCAGGCTTTCGGGATCTACGAGGTTTAAGTTTGGCATCAGGGTTAGATTGGATCATAAGTGGCTCCTGGCGTTTTCTTCTCTGTTTCTTCTCAAAAGTTTGCGCTATCCAGCAGTAAAGTGAAATAAAACAAATATGTCAAATTACGGTATAAAGTACATCTATTTTGTTTAGCCAATTTCTTTAAGTCAGATGTTCCTTATTAACTTAGTGTACCTGCAGAGATGTTCTGAATTCAACTTTCAGATGTTCAGTGATTTACCTCTCAGAGCTTGTTAAAGCTGACATTTAATCTGCGTATATTTTGTTTTTTCTGGTTCCTCCTCCCCCCTTCAATCACCATGCCAATACATTTTTTAAATAAAACCTTCCATTTTCATTGCATACCTTATTTTAGGCCCAGGGATGTCCTACCTAGGTCCCTGTGCTACAGCCTTTAGCCTTGATGCAAGCAGCAGGCTGTTTCTTAGGAGTTATGCAAATATCAAAATGGCTTGATAAATGGATGTCATTCTGGAGGATTGGGCATTCCTAGACAAGTTGTAACTGAATGCAGATTGCTCTATGGAAAAGTCACATGTGGTATAGAGCCTCCATGATGGAAAGAACTGAGGCAGGCCAAGGTAAACGAGGCTGGGGTGGAAAGAGTTAGTTGATGCTGGGCATCCTCCAGCCAGGAAATAAGGCTGGATCTATCCGACTTGCTGCAGTTTCTAATGCACTTTGTGGGAAGCGCACAGTGTGCAGTAAATTCAGAGTAATATATCAATATTATATATCCCATCTCTGCGCTGGAAAAGTGAAAAATAAAAAATGAAACCCTTAATATGTGCAACAAAAACAACCAAAAACACTGCTGCTACTTTAACTCCACTTATATAGATAAAGTTGTGTAACTAAACAACAAAGTGCTTAATTATTAGCAGCGCTGTGAAACAACAATAATGACCTGTTTCAAGAGTCATCTCTTGAAAAAGTCGGCAAAGACGAAACATGTCGGGATGAGGTTTGGAGTGAACAGGAGGTGACGTAGGTGGAAGTGACCAGACATTACGTCAGACTTGTGGCCGAGCCTGGTGGCGAGATCCTGGTGACTTTCTGAGAGTGGTGTCAGGCATTATGTGTAGCGGTTGTGGTCTATATGCTTTGTATGATATGCCTGATTGTAATAAATTGTCTGGTGAGCTTTTTCTTATGGAATAACATCTAGATCTTGGGTTTTACTGCAGTATTGGAAGCGTTCTTTTTCCTTTACGTGATATATGGCCACTGGCCTATTGGGAGTGGAGCTGAGGTGGAAAGGTATTTGTAGAGGTGGAATTATATTGATTGGATGCTGCTCAAAAGCCATTATTATCTAAAATATGACAGGTAATTTAATCTTGTGAGTCACACTGGATTGAGGTGAAGGGGTGGTGATCACTGGAGTCACAAGCAGTGTTGTAGCAGAGGATACAAGAGTGGACCTGTCACTTAATTTGTAAACATTTTTTCATTCAGTTTTTGAACTGGTCACATATACTCACCTACCTATAAAAACACTGTGAACTTTCACTTTATAGAGCACTTTGAAGTGTTTATGGGCACTTGTTTATTTTTTTGTTTATTTGATTTATGTATTGTTGTGTCAAGCACTTTGTTGTTTAGTTAAACAACTTTATCTACATTCAGAGTAAGAAATTTCAGTACAGGAAAGGGGCTTGTACAGCTATGTTTACCTACTGTTGACTGACTCAACTAAATCAGCAAGTCCATAAACAAAAGTCCCACACCAAATTGTGAATCAAAAACAGTGCAGAAGCAGAAGGAGAAATTTCTCATAGTATAGTATGTTTATTGTAAAAATGAATAAAATCAACAAAATATACACTCACATTAGTTGGTGCCCAATCCTTGGCACTAATACACTTGGCTCGAGACGCTATATTTATATATATTAGGTTTTGTATGTTTTAACACAGTCGAAATACTGTATATATAGTATGTACAGTATGTGAAGCGCCATACCTTATTTCAATATTTGGTCACAAGTAATTTTGCACTTTAAGGGGTAGCTAACATTTTTTCTTTTCATGTTGGTACACTATATGGTCAATTAGAAATTTATATTTTATAGGGGACACGTAATTTTGTGAAGATAGTATATTGTTCTTGCATGCTAACAGAAGGCACTTAGTCTTTTTAACCAAACAAAATGTGATTATTGTAAAGGAGGGTAATTCTTTTCTATACCCACTGTATCTTGTCCACCACACCTTTAGCTATATCACTTTCAAACAGATTAAATAGACCAGGATCTAGTACAGAGCCTTGTGGTACACCACTAGTGAATGTTCCTCACTTATAACCACACTCATATAGCTATCCTTTAGGCAATTGCATATTCACCCAACCACCAAAGGGTTAAATCCTAGCCTGTACAACTTGTTTTGTGAGATCAGTATGTAGAACCATATCAAATGCTGTGCTAAACTCAAGATGTCCACAGTTGCACCCTAGTCCAAAACATTTGTGTAAAAAACCTCAATTTTATTAGTCTGATTCTGTAAAGCCATGCTACTTTGGGCCCAGCAAGTTGTGTATTTTTAAATGATCCTTCTTTTTATGAATGATTTCACTATTTTACTACAACAGATGTTAAACTCTCTGGCCTGTACTTGCCAGCTTCTGCCTTAGCAGCTTTGTGGATAGGTACATTATTAGCTGTCCCCTAGTCAAAGTTCAACAACTATTCCTTGAAGTTCTCTTAGAACTCTTGGATACATGCCATCAGGATCCATTGGTTTGCTAAGCTTAAAGTGTTACTAAACCCAGGACCCTGCATTCACTATATCTGGTCTCCCAGGACCCTGCATTCACTATATCTGGTCTCCCAGGACCCTGCATTCACTATATCTGGCCTCCCAGGACCCTGCATTCACTATATCTGATCTCCCAGGACCCTGCATTCACTATATCTGATCTTCCAAGACCCTGCATTCACTATATCTGGTCTCCCAGGACCCTGCATTCACTATATCTGGTCTCCCAAGACCCTGCATTCACTATATCTGATCTTCCAAGACCCTGCATTCACTATATCTGGTCTCCCAGGACCCTGCATTCACTATATCTGGTCTCCCAGGACCCTGCATTCACTATATCTGGTCTCCCCAGGACCCTGCATTCACTATATCTGATCTCCCAGGACCCTGCATTCACTATATCTGATCTCCCAGGACCTGCTTTCACTATATCTGGTCTCCCAGGACCCTGCATTCACTATATCTGGTCTCCCAGGACCCTGCATTCACTATAACTGGTCTCCCACAGTACACAGAACTTGGAAGTGCAATTATTTTAGTAAATATAAACTGCTATACAGGCATACCTCGGTTTACGAATTTAATGCATTATGCGGGACTTTCCGTATTACAAACAATTCGTAAACCGAAATGCGGTTTCCCATAGCAATGCATTGAAAACCAATTAATCCATTCCAGAGGTCAGAAAAAAGTAAAAAAAAAAGTTTCTTATCTGTTCGAAACTTTTCATAAAGTGCACTTTAAAGGCATAAATACTGTACAGGGACATGATCAAAAATTAATTAGTAAATGCATTGAAAACCGATTAATCCATTCTGGAGGTCAGACAAAAGTCAAAAAAATGTTTTAACTGTTCAAAACTTTTTATAAAGTGCACTTTAAAAGGCATAAATACTGTACAGGGACATGATTAAAAAACAAATCGTAAATGCATTGAAAACCAATTAATCCATTCCGGAGGTCAGAAAAAAGTTAAAAAAAAATCTTATCTGTTCAAAACTCTTTATAAAATGTACTTTAAAGGCATAGTACTGTCCAGGGGCATGATTAATGAAAAATTTGTAAATGCATTGAAAACCAATTAATTCATTCATATTGCGAAAAAAAAATTGTAAACCGAGTCATTATTTTCAATGGATTTTCATTCGTAAACTGAAAATAACATTAACAGTGGCGTTTGTAAACTGAAATACGCCTGTATATCTTTTCTCATCAGCAGTTAGAACAGTCTTGTGCTGTCCAGCCAAGCACATGTTAAAGCCTGTAGAAGGAGTTTTCATTCTGCTCTAGAAAGCAGGACCCCTGACCTCTGTCTGGACAGTGCTGATTGGCCCTGTGCTGATCACATGCACTCTCCCAAGAAAAAAAAATCTCTCTAGCAATAGACACCAAACTGAGTATGTGCAGAGTGACACCACATATACGTCTTATCAGGAGCTAAGAGGGGGACACTGGCAGAAGGGGAGGATCAGAGAAGTCAGGATCAAACAGCATTTTTACACAATGCAGAAGACTAACCCCTTAGGTTCCACAGTGAGTATAACAAGCATGCTTTACTGCATATACTGACTGATTTTACTGTTGTGGGTTTAGTAATACTTTAAAATGAGTCAGTTAATTTGCAAGTTCTGTCTCTAGAAACCCTGAAAATTAATCTTCACACCTAGAACCAATATGATACCAAACATGTTTTTGTTAGTTTCATAAACTTTTCACAATAACAAGTTGGAGAATAATGGGCAAAACCCTGACCACACATAACCTAACAGAGGTTCTAATCCTTTTTCCAACTTTTCACAAATATAATGTTTTGACTGGAGATGGGCTTTAGCTCACTATTTGAGAAACTCTTGATAGATGACAGGTATCTACATAGTGGATGTTTAAAAGGCCTATGATGACTTTATAATATTTTATGTCACATGGAATTGCACTGATGGAAGACAGCTATTTATTAAGTAACCTAGCTGTTTTACCTGTAATTCCAGTTTCTGTTGACGCACATCATGCAGGTCATCCTCTTTCCCACTGTAGCATAAAACAGAGGAAATAGTTTAGAATGTACTGTATAAGCCTCCCTACATGTATCACTTACTGTATGGAATTGCTGTCTGTACAGTAGATATTCATTATATTCCCCATCTGTATCATTGATAGGGGACTTAAAATTGATAAACAATACATAGAACGTTGTTTTGCAGATATGATGGTTGATAGGATCTATGAAAAAAATGGTGGTAGCATCCAGAGTCCAAACTAAGTAGATAAACATGACAACACCTCCTCTAACAACTAGTTGATCTTGGCACTGCCTATTTCACATAAGGACTTGGGTTTAACATAGTTGTCTACTCTCCCATTTGAGTTTTATGCACTTTTATTGCATTTGAAATTTTATAACTTTTGCAACATATCATTACTATTCCTGTAGTTCCAAGACCCCAAAGAAAATTCATCATTAAAGCGGAAAAAAAACCCAAAAGTGAACATTTATTATATTGCAGTTTACAAATTTTTAGATGTGGTGGCTGCATTAGTTTTCATGTTTAGGCTCTTTCCTTTATTGTCATCTGTTGATCTGGTCAGTAAGTCTGTTTTTCAAAAGAACAAGCTCTCTTGTAGATGTAGGAATTACATGGATGAGATGAACCATTTACAACTGACAGGGATGCTTACAATGATCCGCTTTTAATTAAGTGGCTTTATTAGACATGTGTGGTTTGTTTCATTCTGAAATGAAATTCGGACACATTTTTCGTTATTCAGAGATTTGGATGTATCCGAATTACAAGAGTAACAATTTTAAATTAATCCAAAATATCAAAACAAAATTTCAAACAATAGAATGGAATAGAAAGAATGTAACCATCTTCCGAAATTCGAATTTTGGATAGAACAAATTTGAATAGAATAAATTAGAATAGAAAAGAATAGAATGGGAAAAAAAGAACAGAATAGAAAAGAATAGAAGAGAAAAAACAATAGAATAGCATAGAATGAATATATATATATATATATATATATATATATATATATATATATATATATAGGGCTTGAAGAAGCCACTCGCCCGTTCTCGCCAAATGCGAGGAGAAATTCCTCTGTGGCGAGCACAGATGAAGCATGTAGCGACTGCACCTGCGCTCCAAGCCTCATTGTGAAGCCGAGTTGCGGTTTACAACTTCCGGTTTCCGGCTTCTTCGGCTCCGCTGAGAGGAGACACCCTCTCCACTGCTGCGGGGGACTCGGAGGGACTAGGAGTAAGTACTGTATACAACATGTCATATCACTATAATAGAGTAGTACAGGGGAGCTGGGATATACATTACTGTATACATGTCATATCACTATAATGGAGCACAAGGGAGCTGGGATATACATTACTGTATACATGTCATATCACTATAATGGAGTACAGGGGAGCTGGGATATACATTACTGTATACATGTCATATCACTATAATGGAGTACAGGGGAGCTGGGATATACATTACTGTATACATGTCATATCACTATAATGGAGTACAGGGGAGCTGGGATATACATTACTGTATACATGTCATATCACTATAATGGAGTACAGGGGAGCTGGGATATACATTACTGTATACATGTCATATCACTATAATGGAGTACAGGGGAGCTGGGATATACATTACTGTATACATGTCATATCACTATAATGGAGTACAGGGGAGCTGGGATATACATTACTGTGTACATGTCATATCACTATAATGGAGTACAGGGGAGCTGGGATATACATTACTGTATACATGTCATATCACTATAATGGAGTACAGGGGAGCTGGGATATACATTACTGTATACATGTCATATCACTATAATGGAGTACAGGGGAGCTGGGATATACATTACTGTATACATGTCATATCACTATAATGGAGCACAAGGGAGATGGGATATACATTACTGTATACATGTCATATCACTATAATGGAGTACAGGGGAGCTGGGATATACATTACTGTATACATGTCATATCACTATAATGGAGTACAGGGGAGCTGGGATATACATTACTGTATACATGTCATATCACTATAATGGAGTACAGGGGAGCTGGGATATACATTACTGCATACATGTCATATCACTATAATGGAGTACAGGGGAGCTGGGATATACATTACTGTATACATGTCATATCACTATAATGGAGTACAGGGGAGCTGGGATATACATTACTGCATACATGTCATATCACTATAATGGAGTACAAGCTGGGAGCTGGATATACAATGCTGTATACATGTCATATCACTATAATGGAGTACAGGGGAGGGGGGGATATACATTACTGTATACATGTCATATCACTATAATGGAGTACAGGGGAGCTGGGATATACATTACTGTATACATGTCATATCACTATAATGGAGTACAGGGGAGCTGGGGATATACATTACTGTATACATGTCATATCACTATAATGGAGTACAGGGGAGCTGGGATATACATTACTGTATACATGTCATATCACTATAATGGAGTACAGGGGAGGGGGATATACATTACTGTATACATGTCATATCACTATAATGGAGTACAGGGGAGCTGGGATATACATTACTGTATACATGTCATATCACTATAATGGAGTACAGGAGATCTGGTATATACATTACTGTATACATGTCATATCACTATAATGGAGTACAGGGGAGCTGGGATATACATTACTGTATACATGTCATATCACTATAATGGAGTACAGGGGAGGGGGGATATACATTACTGTATACATATCATATCACTATAATGGAGTACAGGGGAGGGGGGATATACATTACTGTATACATGTCATATCACTATAATGGAGTACAGGGGAGCTGGGATATACATTATTGTGTGCAGTTTTTATATTTTGGACTATTTATTCTAAAGAAAAAAGTAATTTCATAAGCTTTAAGTACAGGGGGCGTGGTTGGAGCAGGGCAGGGGTGGGGTTTGGCGTGGGCGGGGGGTAGGGGGGGGTGGGGGGCAGACCTGGGCAAGGTTGGGTGGGGCAACTGGTAGAGAGTAAGTTTTGTGACCGGCTAGTAGGTCTGTAACCCCTGTATAGTATATATTTATATAAAACCGTCTTCCGAAATTCAAATTTCAAACTAAGTTTTAATTAAAATGGCGATTCGAATCGTCTGAAATTCAATTCCTCCGAATTCAGAAAATCCGAGTTGAATTCGAAAACGAATAAACTAAACAAAATGAAACAAAATGAATTCCGAAAATGAATTTTCATTTAAAGGAATAAAGGAATTTAACTAAACTAAATTATTTAAATAATGAATTGAAATTAAACTGATTTTTTTCGTTCTGCGCATGTCTAGGCTTTGTCCCAAAATAGAAAAACTGTTTGCTGGAACTGCTTAAAGAGTACTAGCTAGAGTTTGGCTTAAATTTTTTTTGCTGTGTATTTAAAGCTGCTAGTACATCTAATATTACCCTCCCCCAAGACTGACAAATGTGCTCCTTCATCCAGAATGGAGGTACTTTAATACAAAAGGTGTGTTATTGGCCAGAGCACCAGGTGAAAATGGGAAAATGCCTAAAAAAGAAAACTGATGCAGCCACCACATCTCATGATTGATAAGCTGCAATATACTGTGTTCCATTTTTGGTTTTTGGGTTTAATAACGCTTCAGATCACATACCTATTTAAATAGTCATTTAAACACTTAAACAACTTTGCATTATTCACTCTCCTTCCCAGATTAGCACACCATTCCTCTATATTTTGATATCTGTTGCTGAACACCCATAATACACAGAACCCATCTTTTTAGCCACCTAATGATTTTTATGGAGATTTAGGCTCCATTCAGGAGGGGCATTTTTACAGCGATCACAGTGATTTTTTTTTTTAAAAATCACAAAAAATCGTGGGATGCGCAACGGTTCCTTCTTTGGGCGTTGCGCATCCCGCAATTTTGTTTGCGTGATCGAGGTGCGTTTGCTGCGTGGAAACACGTGCCAAAGACGCCCTGCATTTTCAGGTGCCATTGAAATGAATGGCACCTAAACGCGCAAATGAGCATTTTCACAGCGCGTTTCCGTCCACGATTTGAAATGCCTCAGTGTGAATGGAGTCTTAGGAGTAGTTAACACGAAACATACTTGCACATCTGTTGCTTACCTGCTTGAAAGTGGTGAGAACTTTGCTGAAGTTTTCTCTGGTTTGCTTAAAGAATACATTTTAAAGCAGTTTTCTACATTAAGGCCCGTTCACAATAGAATGTGGTGCGGGAAACCCATGCTCCTTGTTGGTTTCCCGCACCGCATTCAAAACACACTGCCCTTGCCAACTGCAGCGGGTATCAGTGCAATGTTAACAACACCCCAAACGCAGGGCGTTTGCCCACACCAGAACGTATGGTACAAAAGTATTTCCACTGCATGCACTACTTTTGACGTGGTGGGGGGGGGGGGCGATTTCAGCCCATTCAAAATGATTGGGTTGAAATCCCACCACACAGAACTGCCTGTGATTTGCACAAGAATGCGCAGCATGTTCCTGTGCAAATCCTAATGTGAATGGGCCCTCACCCTTAGAGGTACCAACCACCTGCCAACCACACTTTTGCTAAATAATTAGTGTTTCTTTCTAAAACCACTCCTTCATGTTTATGATTTACTTACACATTGGTGTGAACTTGGAGGAGCATAAATAATTCCAAGTGATTGCCATTAACTGTGGTCTATTTGCAAAAATTTAAAACCTTTTAATTGGTAGAGTTAACTGGGATTTAAAAGCTGCTGATAGCAAAAAAAAAAAACAAAAAAAACAAAACAAAAAAGAACACATATAGATCTTTAGTTGTTTTGTTAGTATTTTGTAGTATTTTTTTATTCTTCAAGGCTTTTAGATGTATGTATGTGAATTCAATTTACTTAATGTAGTGTAATTACTTATCAGTGTACAGTATGCTATTGGTAAATATCTGTATGTGATGATAGCTTTTATCTGCACTTGCACATTAGGCGGCCATATTTCCTCACTGCATGTTG